CTTTCAAGTCATTTATCAGAATCGATAGATAGTAAAAATGATGAGTTTGAGTCTCAGCTTTTTACATTTATTGTGTCTACTGGTGGTGGGTAGAAAATGAACTGGCACTGGACAAATAATTGTATCAGTTGGGACTCTTGGTTTCAGGTACAAGCAACTTCAGGTCTCAGGTAAAAGATTGGTCTTATTTAAGGACTTGGATCAGGTAGCAGAGTATGGATTCTATTGCTAATGCCTGGTGGTCAAGGCCAGATCAGGCCTTAAAGTGGGAGGGAGGGTTCAGAAGGATGGGGAATATATTAGGTAAATAATACCTGTTCACTAACAGTTGTATTAAAAATAGCTTTAGGTGTGCCTGGGTGGCTCAGTCGGTCGAGCGTCTGACTCTTGATTTCCATTCAGGTCAGGATCTCATGGGTTGTGAGATCGAGCCCCACCTGGAGCCCCAGGTCAGTGCTGCACTTAGCAGGGAGTCTGCTGGAAGACTCTCTCCCTCAGTCCCTTCTCCCGCTCACATGTTCTCTCTCTCTTAAAATAAATAAATCTTAAAGAAATATATATAGCTTTAAAAAATGAATAGTGTGCCAAACTCAAAATTCATTTAATCCTTACAACCAATTTCATGAGGAAGGTGTATTATATTTTTAAAAGATTCACTTATTTATTTTAGAGAGAGAGAGAGAGAATGCGTGTGTGCGTGCAAGCAGGGGGGAGGGGCAGAGGGAGAGGGAGAATTCTCAAGCAGACTCCTGGCTGATGGCAGAGCCAGACACAGGGCTCAATCCCAAGACCCTGAGATCATGACCTGAGCTGAAATCAAGAGCCAGCTGCTTTAACTGACTGAGCCACCCAAGTGCTCTGGGAAGGTGTAGTATTAATGCAATTTTTCAGAGTTTAAAATGAGGCACAGAGAAAATAAGTAATTTGCTCAAGATCTCATGTCTTGTAAGTGGCAGACCTGTGATTCAAGCCCAGGTATTTTGACTGTGTACCACAGCCAGAAAAAAGTAGGAGAACTATGAACTGAAATATGATAGGGTAAATTTCTATGTGCAAAAAGTTCTTCCTATACATTGCTGGAGTAAAAGGCAACTTGCTAAATGATATTAGAGTGACTTTTTAATGTTACAAACAGTAATAACGATGACAAGAAAAAAACAAAGAAAATGCAAAAACATGATATAAATATCCCTGAATGGTGTGGTTCAGTAGGTTAAGCATCTGACTCTTGGTTTTGGTGCAGGTCATGGTCTCAGAGTTGTGGGATCAAGCTCCGAGGTGGGCTCTGCTCTCAGCGTGGAGTGTGCTGGAAATTACCTGTCTCATGCCGCCCCTCTGCTCCCCTCCCACCCGCAGGCTCGCACACGTGTGCTCTCTCTCTAAAGTAAATAATTAAAATCTTAAAAAACAAATCCCCAAAATAGTACAGTGGTTATCTCTGGAGAGGGGAGTGGGATGCTGAAGACAGAAAAGAGAGTATTTCATGTCATACCCTATAATTTATATGGAATCTGGATAACTTAGAAATATGTAATATAAAGAAATAACTTGATGGGAGAAGGAAAAGAAAAATGCCTATATGCAAAAAATTAAATATGAAAATTGAAAATTGGTTCTAAGTCATTTCTGTATCTTAATTCTGCCATTACTTAAGGATATGGCCAGTGAAAACTACTTGTCTCAAATTTCTTTCCCAATTGATTACAGAGGTTAGCGCATGTTTTTCTCCTGAAATAGTGTGGATAAGGCAATCTTTTCAGAATGTATGTGTATTAATGGTTCATGTACATAGCCCTTAAGTACTATGTGATCTTTAAAAAATATTTGAATTATAAACTACTTCAAGTATGCTAAAATCTGGAGTAATACAAGTACACTTGACCCTTGAACAAATGGATTTGAACTGCTTGCGTCCACCTGTGTGCGGATTTTTATCGGTATAGTAGTGTAAATGTATTCTCTTCCTTATGATTTTCTTAACATTTTCTTTTTTTTAGCCTTATTATAAAATCGCAGTACATAATAATGTAACATACAAAATATGCATTCAACTGTTGATGTTATCAGTAAGGCTTCCAGGCAGCGGAAGGCTATTAAGATTTGAGGGAGTCAAAGGTTAATATGTGGATTTTCAACTGTGCAGGGGATTGGCACGCCTAATCCCCATGTTATTCAAGGGTCAAATGTACTTGTTTTCAAACCAGTTTATAAAATAAAATACTACAAACACAATTGATGACACCTGTCAGTCTCCTCAGTCCGATCTTCATTTCTTGGTACCCACTAGCAAACCTGTGTATTTTTTTTTCCTATGGATACAGCCATAACATATGGTATTGTTTTGCATATTTTATATAACTGGTGTCATAAGACATGCAGTGTTCCACAACTTGCTTTTTTTGCTCATTTTTGAGCTGCATCCATGTTGACATGCATAACCCCAGTTTGTTCAATTTTGGTCTTTGTACAGAAGTCCATCATATGAATGTACTAATGTTGAGTGCTGGTTAGGACTCCTTTCTGCTGTTGTACACAAGGCTGCATGACTTTTTTTTTTTTTTTTTTTTTTTAAGGTATTTTCATCTCTGCACCCAGCGCGGGTCTTAAACTCACAACCCTGAGATTGAGTCGCATGCCCCACACATTGAGTCACCAGGAGCCCCATTGTTAATGTCTCCTTATGCACATGCAGAAGTACTTGCTTAAAGTAACATGGTAATACATCTTTATTAGATATTGCACATTTGATAGTTGTGCCAGTATGTTTTCCCACCAACAGCGAAAGAGTTCCACTGCTTTGTTGTCTTTGACAACACTTGCTATTTTGAAACCGACACTGTTGCTAATTTGATGGGTGTGATGTAGTACTTCCTTGTGTCTTAACCAGTATTTCCTTGATTAGTGAACAGTATTCTTTCCTTATTTCTTGGCCTTTCAGATTTACTCTTGTAAGAAATCTTTGTTTTTTCAGTGTGCATATTTCTATTGGGTAGTATTTCATGACTTTTAGGAATTTTTTTATACATTATATTAAAAACATTCTTGTGGCTTTTTTCACTTCTATAGTACTTAATGTACATATGTCTTAAATTTTAATATAAATTTATACTTTAAATGTCCCTTTGTGTCCTATTTAATTTTTCGCATACTGAGGTCTGAAAAATGTTGAATATATTTGAATATATTCATCTAAGTTTTAAAATATTCTTTTAAAAGTTGTCTTTAGGGGCACCAGGGTGGCATAGTTAGTTAAGTGTCCAACTCTTGGTTTCAGCTCAGGTCGTGATCTCGGGGCTGTCAGACTGAGCCCTGAGTTAGGCTCTGTCTCAGCACAGAGTCTGCTTAAGATTCTGTCCACCCCATCACTGCCCCCCTCCCTCCAACTCTCTCGCTCAAATAAATCAATCCTTAATAAAAAATAAAAGTTGTCTTTAATCCAACTCAAATGTATTTGTTTATGGTTTGAAGTAGGGATCCAAATTTATTTTTTTCCAAGTAGATAATCAATTATAATTTTACAAAAAGTCCCTCCTTTGGCTAACGGTTTACAATAATAAACTTAAGTTTCCATATATGAGGGTCTCTTCAAGTCTGATTTAAGGAAATAACAGCAACATTTAACATTTAATGTGCATCTGCCATGTATCAGGGACTATGCTAAGCATTTTATATGCTTAGATCATGCACTTTGGAATCTGAATGGGCTTACATGTACACTGATGGATGGTAGGCCTTACTATGACTTTTTTGTTTACTGGCTGATAGAGATAGGTCGTCAGGTGAAATTCATAAATATGCTGATTGACACAAACCAAATATATAACTTGCTTTTATTAAACAGGGGGAAAAAAATCAGCACATTTTCCGAAGAGGCAGACATCCCAAGAGCTTTAGTGAAAACCAATGTAACATTCACTTGTTTGACCAAGCTTTTAGAATAAATGAGCTATTAGATTCTTAAATTAGGACTAGAACATGAATGAGCTCTAGACCCCAGTACAGTTATAAGCCAACAAATTAGGCATTGTTTTGCTTAACAGTTTTAGCTTTAATGTAAATATATATTATTATTTAGAATATTAGCATCTGAACTACATAAAGACTTTATCATTTTACTTTAATTAAAACCAGGATTTCTGGAACCTCCAAGTAGCCTTTGAAGTTTTCCAGTATGAACACGGACTAACCCCCATTCCTTGCTACATATCAAAAGTGAAATAATTGTCACAATAGATCAACATTGTCATAAGGTGATTTCTAAGGCTTCTGGCACATAAATGTATAATATCTGTGTGACAACAATGTCATGATTATATACAAAAAATATTTAAAATGTTCTTTGTGCAATTTAAGTTCTAAAGATTAAAAAAACAAATGTTCCATGTTAATAAAATAATACTATGAGCTTCCCATAAATTTGATATTGATTTTGTAATTACATGAAGAACACACAAGACTTGCACACTAAGTGATTCATCATTTTAACTGTTGAACCGAGTATACTTATTTGATATTAGTTCTCTATATTGTACTTTCAGCCAAAACAGACCTTAATATAACTTACAAACATTTCCAATTAAACTGTAACACTAAGGCAGCAAATGTCAGATCTATGTTTGCTTACCTATATATGTATCACACAAATTAAGTCTATGAATCTCAATTTATCCTTTTGTCTAAGTCACCATTGTAGAGAATATGTAAGTGAAATCAACAAAAGGTGACTATTTCTCATTTGAAGAAAATGAGTCATTAACACCTTGTCTTAAAGTTCTAAAGCAGCATATTCAGCTTTTAAGGCAAAAAAAAAAAGGCCAAAAATATCATAACTTATAAATTCTGTAATTCTTCTTTTGTCATTAAAAGCCACAGCACAAATTCTTATACTTTAATAGACAATATATTAGTGTACATCTGAATATACATCTGCCAACATTCTCCATTAGGATGAAGGTGTTCTGTGAAGTAGAAGTGATGAAGTGCATTATCACAGGCAACATTTAATGGCTGTCCTGGGCATCAGGGGACATGGAATGGCTGAGTCTTGACCTTCCATTCACAGATATTGTATTTGATGGAACAGTAACCTAAGAGAAAGAAACACATTTTGCACCCATCAATTTAAAAATGGGACAGCTACCTAATTTTCAAAAATTACCACATTTTAACTTCTGCTTAATTGTAAATGAGAATATTTAGCATTTAGTATTCAATAAATCACAAATAATCAAGAAGAAATGTTCACTCTACCATAAAATTAAAAATGAGAGAGTCGTTATTTCCACAACAAACAAGTCAAATAATCCATTAACACATCTTAGTCTTTACAAAATTACCAAATCAACTCAAAGGACAAAAGCACAAACAGACTGCAGGCCAAGCTGTTGAAGAACATTTTTTGCTAAATTAATTCTGGCTCCCCAAAACTGCCTTGGAGAATGTAGAAAAATAAAGTGAAGTCCACAAAGCAAAGAATTTTTACAAATTTTAAATTGTATCGATGACATGTATTAACTTGAAGTTCCCCTCCCAGATACCCCTTATTTATAAGAAAATACAGCTTTGGTTTTTAAAATGCTTTCATATAAGGACGCCTAGGTGGCTCAGTTGGTTAAGCGTCTGCCTTCGGCTCAGGTCATGATCCCGGGGTCCTGGGATCCAGCCCTGTGTATGGCTCCCTGCTCGGTGGGGCATATGTTTCTCTCTCCCTCCCCCTGCTCGTGTTCTCTCGCTCTCAAATAAATACAGTCTTTAAAATAAAATAAAATGCTTTCATATAAAGGGCTAAAAAAGTCAAATCTATGACTGTTATGCAAAAACAACTGCACAACGAAAAGTAGTTTTTTTCTCCCAATAAACCCCTAAATTCCAAAATTCTATGGCAAAGTCTCCTATTTATAAATGGTAAATGAATGAAATACACTAAGAATTTCCTAAATATTAGCTTGAAATTCCAAATTATTTAGAACATTTTTTAAAAGTCATATGCATTCTGTATAGTAAATAGGTATAATATTTTGAAATATTATCCATAAACATGACAAATATTTTAACAAAAATAGTTAATCTCTAGATTTCAGTTTGGCTAGTTTAGATTTGTAACCAAACATTATCATCTTCTCACACAAGAAGAAAACTGAAGTACAAAAGGCCACAGAGTCTGCCTAGCAACAGAGTAAGTTAGTGAAAAGGAAAATAAAATGGGCAAATTTAGTTTGGATTTGATTTCCTTGTGCTTCATTTGTTGCCTTTTATTAAATGAAGATTGATCATCTAAACTAATCAGCTTTCTTGACTCTCTATGAATCCAGAATGGAGTAGAGTGTTGACACTATCCTCCTGAAATAAAAAAAAGAAATTTTGTTTTAAGCATTTAAAAAACACACTGATGACTCTAATATATGTTTATTGTTGATGTTTATTGTAGCACCATTTATAGAATGGAAAAACTAGAATCCAGTTAAATGTCCATCAATAAGGAATAAACCATGGTTCATTCATAGAGTCAAATACTATGTAGTCTTAAAAGAACTGTGTGTGTGTGTATGTGTGTGTGTATGTGTGTGTGTGTAATAAGATGGAAAACTTCAAAGAGATATTTCTGAATGTTTTACAGGATTTTATTTTTGTATGTATTTAAATATGTTTATATACTACAAAAGTGTTCTGGAAGGTTTCACAGTAATCTATCACGCGCAGTTACTTTGGTGGGGGATGGCATTTTGTTTGGTATTTTAAAAATTTGTATACTAAACTTTTGAGCATGAGAAGACATCATTATAGACTAGTCCATAAGTAATGTGAGGTCAGAAACCTTGTCTATTTTAATACATCACACACGTTTATTTTAGTACCTGGCACAGTGTAGATCAATGAATATTTCTTGAATGGAATATGGCAACTTTTTATAAACATTTATAAAGTAAAAAAGTACTGCTTGAGTTTTTTTGAATAATGAACATGACACTTACAATAAAGATATTTTTTAAAGCAACATTAAAGAATTTACTGATAAGAGCATCTGCTAGTTGACTGTCTAGCCTTTAAAAATTTTCGGGAATATTCATGTAGCTTTCTTATTCTTGTGAGGAGCATCAACTATGACATTCATTTTTAATTTAAAAATACACAGAAAGAAGTGCCAACCTAAAGCCTTTAGGTTGTTCAAATTCCAATCAAGGAAATATGAATAAAAAGCAGACCAATTAAACAAATAAAATAAGCCTGCAAGATTCTGGGTGACTTACCCAGTTTTTTCTTCCTTCCAGATTTCCATGTAGCCAAAGATAAATTTTACATTCTGAGGAAATGGTTAATATCAACCACTTTATTTTTACAAACCTATATTCTACTTGTAACAGTGTAATGACCTTTAGTAACTGAAGCATCAACAAGAACCAAGAGCAGCCAAAGAAGTTCTTGTCTCAACACAAGTCAGTGATAATAGGTTACTTAATCTCTTATTCTCTGAAAACAATTTGCTGATTCACATATAAATCTTAACACTAAACACATATTATCAAATACTGAACTGGATTTATTAAAACTTTATAAGAAGACAAGACAGATCTCTGTGACTAAACTGGGGTCAAATAAGGGTAAGGTGTGGAAAAAGTCTTAAATATGAAAAAACATGGCATGTTCATGACTACATTTACGCTAGAGCAGTCAACTAGATAATTGTTCTAATGTGAACCAATTATTATAATGAAGGTTAATTACTCGGGTATGAACCAGAGCCATAAGGCAGGTTGGTACCTGGAGTTAAATTGAACATTTGGGTGCCAAAATATAGGCAAACCTGGAGCCAACTTTCTGATGAACAATCTAAACCTACTGTCAAAATCACTGAAGATTTTATTTGGCACTCTTGCTGTTGTTCTATAAAAGAAATGTTAGAATTTAAAACAAACCAGGAGAAATGTTCGGTACAGGACAGAAATATGGGACTTAAGCAAAGATCGCAAGGAATTAGAGCCTCTTGTGTCCATTTCTACTTTCTTTTGCAATATAATTTTTTTTAAATATAATACATGTAAAATGCCCTGAACTTAAATACACAGCCCAATGAAAACAAACACAAACATACATATAATCCACCACCCAGGCCAAGAAAAGAATAGCTCCAGCTCCCTACTGAGCTTGTCTTTAAAATGTTGACATTTTCTCTATCACTAAATGTCTATCATTTAGACATTTAAAAAATACTGCATTAATATTTATCTTGACTACTTAAGATTTTTGGTTCCCTCTTAAATTATGTGCCTGTCTTGCTCCCACAAGCCCGCAGTAACCCCTTTTCTTTCCCTGTGGAAGTAACCCCATCATGATCTGTATAATTACTTCCTCGCTTTTAAAAATAATTGCCACCGGGGCACCTGGGTGGCTCAGTTGGTTAAGCGACTGCCTTCGGCTCAGGTCATGATCCTGGAGTCCCGGGATCGAGTCCCACGTCGGGCTCCCTGCTCAGCAGGGAGTCTGCTTCTCCCTCTGACCCGCCCCCCTCTCGTCTCTCTATTTCTCATTCTCTCTCTCTCAAATAAATAAAAATCTTTAAAAAAATAAAATAAAAAAAAATAATTGCCACCTACGCATGTTGTCACACTTTACACATATATATTTTTATAGGTCTTTACACACTGTTGTGTTTAGCTGCATTTTGCCCAATTTATTGCTATTTGCTAGTCCATTCTTTGAATATACTATTTATCCTCTTTTGGGATATTAAGGTTATATTTATTTGGAGCTATTACGAACAATATTTCATGAATATTCTCACATGTGAGTCCCAGGACATAACACACACCTTTTTAGGGTATATAATTAGAAGTGAAAATACTGATCATGGAGTGTGGATATTATTAACTTTACTAGACCCTGTGTCCATTTTTAGTGGAATAAAATGGATTATGTAAAGAATTTTCATTAAACAAAATTTAGGAACTGACACTGTAAAGACTCAGAGCTATCTATAATCTCCTACTGAAAGAGATAACATTTAGCCTTGAGAGAACCTAAAGTAATGAGTTATAAACAGGATACAATTATAGGATCATCATTTAGGGCCTGCTTTTTATGCTGATTCACATCCAGCTCATTCTGGAAGCAATGAGAGTTTTGTAAGTGAAGAGACTGCCAATTCAGAGCCCATCACACCAAGCACACAGCTGCTTGTCTGTGCAGTTCTGCTGGCCTAAAAGTCATTCCCAACTTAATGCACTGTTTTCTGCCACCTTGTCCACTGAAACGGGTTACTGTATCCACTGACTTGAGTACAAAGACACTGCAGCTATGTTCCGTGTAGTTACTGGGTTCTCCCGTGGACCTGATGGGCCACTGTTTCTCAGTCCCAGGTTGCCAACACCCAGAAGGCAGAGGCTTCATTTTATTCGCTTTCCTCTCCCCAGTATCTAGTACAGTGTTTTGTGCTTAAAAATGCGTATCAAGTTTACTGAACTGAGAAAGCTTTAGATCAGAAACTCAACCTTAATTTACAAGGTGAGAAAGAGAAATAGAGAAATATTTTCATTAAGTGAGAATGTACAATTTATTTGTATGGGCATATTTCCCCATAAAAATATAAATGTCATGACCTGTGAAATACCAGTTTTAATATTCAAAACTACACTTTTTTTTTTTTTTTTGCCACCTGGCACCTAAATTCAGACTCTACAAATACCTGACAAAATTCAAACCTAAGCCCCTAAATTACTCCATTTCCTCCACTCCCGACAGCAGGCAATATTTTGCCCTGTCTCCCTGTTTGCCCAATTGGGAGCGCCAAGCCCTCTGTGAAAACGGCGGTCACTCGTGGCTCTGGGAGGAAAGTGGCTAGTGCGGGCAGGGCCGGCCGTGGACATGTGCCCGAGATGCCCTCCCCGTTCTTTCTCTCTGCAGCATTTCTGTCCCTTCGCAGATTTCATTTCTGTTGAGCTCAGTGTTTTGTTCAACAAGTCTCTTACTCTTCTCTAAATAGCTTCTAAAATGATTAGAGAAGGAATTCACAAAATGAAATGCCTAGGGAGTCAGGGGAATAATGAGTACTTTTCTTGTCTTGGGTGTTGAGGAACTTGCAACCACGACAACTAAGGGGAGAACAAGAAAGACATTTAGGGAGACGAAGGACAGTTTCTGGGAAGTCCAAGTTAGGATGCCAGGCTCCAGGCTTCACCACGTATGTCGTCTTTGAGTGGATGAAAGCAACAGAGGGAGGAAACTCACCTACAAATAATTCCCTGTGACATTTCTTTGGCATTTGCTCCAAAAAGAAGTATACCTCCTCTCCTGAAGTTCTCCTGCATCTCAGTAAGGAGGAGCTAGCCACTCAGGCAGGGCATTAGTAGACTAGAATTTCTGTATTCGATGTCATCTAAATTCCTTAGATTTTCCCTACATTTTTTTGTTTAACTTATAAAACAACGCCCTCCCACACCCAATTCCCCCGCATATTGGTAGTTAACTTTGATCATTGTGGAAGCTATGACTGAAACCTTGCAGGTTCCTATTGCTAGTGCCGCTTTTCTGGAATAAGGAGGGGATTTTCCTTCTGAAAGAATTTTTTTTTACTGTGCTGAAATAATTTATAAAATAAGAGTCCAGGGTACTTTCTATGTATAGTCATATAATAATGAGCAAAACCCATGTTCTGCACCTGGCCCATGGTGTGGAAAATAGACCGGACATATTTTTGAGTATGTGTAAGACTCTGGACTCTTTCAGCTTATACTTCAAAAATGACCCTTGACATCAAAGAGGAACTTCTGGCATCCTCCCTATTCAGACTCCAAAGCCAGAAAACAATTTCCCCTAAGTATTAGTTTGACAATGTTGAAAATAGACCCACTGTCACCCATCTGATAAAGAAAACTTACCCTTTTCAATTTGGCAGCAGCCTCTCCAGAACGGATTGCAGTCAGCAAACTCTGTCGGATCTGTTCTGGGTCAGAGCTTTGGAATGTTAAAGAACTTTGTCTCTTAAGAATGAGTGATGGGCAGTCAGTTGGAGATGGTATTTGGGAATTCTGTTCATTATGTGCAGAGTTATTTCCCTATAAAAATAAATGCAAGACATTTATATGAATACCAAGTGACGAATGAGCCATTTAAAAAAAATTTCATCATCAGGATTCTTTAAGAATCATTATTCGCCACACTGGTGTTTTAGACACAGCTCAGTTTCCTTACCCACTGGATTATTTCTGCTGCCAGAGCTCAGTTGGAAGATGAGGGTATTACTTTCCCTTCTCTTGAACTTATGAGGCTAAGGAAGAAAAGTGGTACCTCTCTTTGCTGTATGAATACATTGGTAATTTTACTGTCCTTGAGTCAAATGATGCTGATTTTGCCAGTAAGAATTGGCTAGAAGAGCTAAATTAATAACAAAAATTCCACAGACTACAAAATAACACATTTTTATAGTTACAACATATTAGGTGGTGAAATTATCACTTTTGACAGTACAAAATGGACAAATTGACAATTTTATACTGGTTGAATCTAACATATCTTCCAATAAAGAAATATTAATGACTATGCTACATGTAACAGTTTATTTTGTGTTTCGGGAAGTCACAGGGGCTAAATGATGACCGTGTTTTATTTTTCCCATGGACTAAAAATACAATTTCCAAATTTAAGAATCAAAAATTTAATTAAACTTCTTAGGAAAGACTATTTAGTAACTGATTTAACTGGAAACTATTATCAAATAATCTTAAAAATGTCTTTTTTAAACTGCCAAACATCTTTACAAAAGATGAGCTAAACAGAGTTCAGGCAATGACTCAAAAACTGTACTATCTAAATCAAACTTCTGTTGTTTAGGAATGGCATTCCATCCTAAGAAGAAACACAGGCTTTGTTCCCAAGTAAAGAATTAATTTCTATATCCTACATCTCTTCCTGACATTATATCAAAGCTAAGAAACATAAATGTGAAATATATGAAGAAATATCCTTCGAAGATGAATATTGCTTTGAGATTATGGAAAAATCTTTACTTGGCAGTGTGGTTAACATTCATTTACTCTAGGAATGTTTGAAAAAGTACTATAAAATACTTCTGGAACTGTCACACAAATCTGAAAGTATTCTTTAAACACTATCAGAGTAAAGGTACACAAAACATTTTTTTTTAAAATTGCAAGGGGATTATTGTAGTTCATACTGTAAATGTCATTCTTTCCTCTGACTATACTATTTGAATCTAGCAAATTATAACACTCAGTTGACCAAACATGAAGTCAACAAATGTCCCTTTTTATGTAAGTTATTAAGGTTAGACAGGGGTTAAATGATATTTTAGTCAACATACCAGTAACTGGAAAAGTTAACACTGAATTAACAAAAATGGGAAATGAAGAAAATTACATATTTAAACTCTGGCTTCAGTTTAAATTATTTATATGTATCAATGTTTGGTAATTGAGGTTGAGTGTATGTGATCGAAAATGCCTAGCTGAGAAATGTTTGGTTATTTTATCTAGTCTTTAAATACCGCTTATGTTTCTATATAATTAAAACTAATTATTTTGCTATTATGTAGAACTGGAGAGGAAAAGAAACCAGAGCATCCAGAAAAGTTGTAAACAAACTGAGATAAGCAAAACAGGAAAAGAGAGAACTATAAGCTGGTACGCTATGCAAAGGTATGAGCAAAGAAACTTTAAATTACAATATTTGCTAATGACACAAGTACAGAATGACCTTTAGAGTACTAGCCAATCATGTTAAATGAATTATAATAACTCAGAGTAAATAATCAGACTTTATGTATCTCTACTCTCTTTTCCCTATGGTAGCTTGCTATTAGATTAATATGAATTCAGAGCTAAGTAATACACAAACATACCAACATGCCTGTCAACCCCCATTTAAAGCACGCTGTATTAGAACCCCTTATTTTCAAGAAGGTAACATTACCTCATCACTCACACATAGCTGTGGGATGCCCACAGATTTATGCACCGGAGCCTTCCCTTCTGTGGCAGGTGGAGGCAGGGCGGCCACACCCTCACCGCTCGGCTCCGGGCGTACTTTGCTGAGAGACTGGGAGCGTTTCACTACAGCCAGGGCAAAGGGGGATGGCGCAGAGCTCGAGTAAGGTCTCGGGGCCCCAAACGTTTTCAGAGTCTTCAGATTTAGTGCTGCTAACTGACTCGCAGGAAGAGGAGCAGGGCTCGGAGCGCCGGCAGGAGGAGAGGTGTCGGCAGGCTTCCGGCCGCCGCGGTCCTCCTCGGTGTGTTTATTAATACGCGGCTGTGGAAGAGGTGGAGCTGTTTCACTTAAGGACCAAAGAGTTCGCCCCGGCGGGGCTCGCGTGTCCTTTTCCTCCTCCTTCTCTACTAGTTCTTTTGGAGCGGGGTTAGGGGCCCCGTGGACACTCCTGGCCGCTGCAGATGTCACATAGTGACCCGAAATTCTTTTTTGCATCTGCAGGAAAAAAGAACTTGGTTTGGTCTGGGGATTTGAAACCCGAGATTTAAGCTTTGACTCCAAAATATTGTTTATATCTTCTAAATTTGGCACGAAAGGAGCTGTGCCAGTGTCCTTCATCCTTCTGGGACCAGCTTTCAGAGGCTTCCCTGGGGCGACGCAGGGCAAGCGCTCCAGGCGGAGCACCTGATGCTCTGTTCTCGGGGTAAGCCTCAGTTGAACGTCTGCCTGTGGCTCCTTTGGACTTTCAGAGATCACAAGATCTTCTGTTTGGACTGCAGTTTCTTTCATACTCTCATCAGTGTGCTTTCCTCCTGAAGTATGCATCTCCTGGTCATCGTTATAGCCAGTGGTTTCTGAGTCCCAATTTTTCAATATCTCCAGGGATTTGGGAGGCACAATTTTGTAAGTAGTCATTCCAATTTTGGGTATGTACTCTCTTGTGATTTCATTTGAAGGTTTTGGCTTGGGATCATAGTCTTGTCTATAAAGTGGATAATTCTTTACATGAGAAAAAGCTGAATTTTTATCATTCCCATCTACAGGAGGCAAAAGACCGTCATTACCATGTGGACAAATTGGATCTTTTATGGTGAGTTGATTTTCTGAATGTACATTTACGGGGCCCTGACTCCTGAATTTCCTTGAGGCATCTACAGAATCTTGGGGACTTGAAGATGAGTGTTGAGTTGATTTATTGTTACTTGGAGTTTGCACACCTTCATTGACTTTGAAGTTAGACAAATTATGATCTCGGTGATTCCCATCAAAGCTCTCAGTGGAGGGGACTATCTGAATGGCTGTGTCTTGCATTTTGGTCTTTTCCTCACTGGGTTGATTCAGTTTTTGGTCTTGTACTAATGAAGCAGCTAGATGATTTTCCTTGTAACTTTCAGCAGTATCAGTTTTATGTGCCTGATAGTTTGATAGTCTGTCAACTTCCATGTCCACATTGTTATTTTTGGCAACACCTCCCACATTGATTTCTGTTCTCCTCACTCCATTTTTCATATGATCTCCTGTGTTCGGTGGAATGACAATTATTTCATTTTGATCTACTGAGAGAAAAAAAATATTGTCAAGTTAAATGTGAACAAAGTAGAAAAACCTCAAGTTTTCAATGCCCGCCTCCCCCAAACTGAAATAGGTTGGTTTGAATTCTACAGATAATTTTCAGCTCACTAATTATACAAAAGCAGATAGTAGCGTTACGAAAAAAAAACAGCATGGGCTTTGGTATCATAGAAACCTGAGTCTAGGACCCAGCTGGACTTACACATTACTTAACCCCTTTGAGCCAAACCCAGTTTTCTCAGATGTATAAAGGTGAAAAATATGTATTATATTTTATATGTCATTTATATAACATGCTAATTCAGATAGGCTACTCCCCAGAACAAGCACTCTTTTGAAGATAGCTACATTTCTCCTGATAGATAGACTTCATATTTCAGTCAATGTTAAGAATGACAAAGAAATTGACAAATTCCAAAAATATATATATATATTTTTTTTATTTTGATCTGGTATTTTTCTATAACCCCTAGTGTATTTATATTTAACACCTTACATTAAAAGAGAAATAATCCCAGCAAATGTAACTAGTTTTAATTAAGGGAAACAATGGAAATATTGCCTTTAAGAGTTGAAGTAAAAACAAAATCTAAGTTGATTGTCTTGTTAATTAGGTATCTTTGCTAAAGACTCTTAGAGGACTTTGTTTTTAGTCATAATATGGGTGATTTCAACTACATAAAAACAATCATGTGGGTTTTGAATTATTTCTAAGAGAACAGATACCCTATTCTCATGTCAGAGTCCATGTAGAGAAAACCACTTCTCTCTCCCCTGCATTACCTTTCCTCTTAATTCTAATTCAGATCTCCTGAAAACAAAAGTCACTTTCCAGTGTCTAGGTTAACAAGCAATGGTTGCCAGCCAGCAACGTGATGGCAAAGAATTGGAATGAGGCATGTAGAAGGAAACACAGGTCTGTGAGTGTGCGCCATGTGTCTAGTCCTCAGGGAAGAGATTTATATACTGGGTTCCTCTAGTCAAATGCCCAGAAGAATTCTTTCTCCTGGATGACCAACTAGCCCTCATCTTCAAAATCCTTAGTGGCCTCCTCTTCCAGATATGGTAGTTTGCACAGTGCAAATGAAATGTGGGCCCTGGGAGTCAAATTGTGAAAGGATGTCAAGTGTTTCTCTGGAGTTGTATCATCACTCACTTTTACTTATAAGATAAAGAAACAATTTCACTGCCCAAAATGTCATGACCTCTTTTAAATAGTTCCTCTGTTAAAAAAGAAAAAAGAAAAATATGCATGCAAGAGAAAAGAAAAGTATGTTGTTGCCAGGTAAATTTGTATATAATTTTTTATAAAATATCTTCATCTTTGGGGCGCCTGGGTGGCTCAGTCATTAAGCATCTGCCTTCGGCTCAGGTCATGATCCCAGGGTCCTGGGACTGATTCCCGCATCGGGCTCCCTGCTCCACGGGAAGCCTGCTTCTCCCTCTCCCATTCCCCCTGCTTGTGTTCCCTCTTTCGCTGTGTTTCTCTCTGTCACATAAATAAATAAAATCTTTAAAAATATATATATATATCTTCATCTTTGAAGATGAATTGCATGTTTTTTTTGTCATGGTTGTTATACTTTCTATTATGTTGCAAGGTTCTTATATTACATATCTAATTTTTAAATGGAATTCATTTTTATTCTTCCTAAAAAAATGCAACTGATTATCAGAATACTTATTGTCTACACAAATGACCTCTCAATGACTCATAATTATTAAATTTTGTGACACATTTGATTAAGAATCATCAAAAAGACACATTTCTGCCTATGCTCTTATTTACTTGGTTGGGAAGTATTTTTAATATCTGTATGAAAAGTACTATTGTCAACACTGGTATGAGCACAAAAGAAAATGGTCCCTGGTACCAGGAAATGAACATAAATGTATTTCCTTCTCTCTTGCTTATTTCTCATTTTCCAGTGAATACAGGGATAGCCCAGTTACACAATAAAAATATTTTCCAAAACAAAGAAAATCAACATATTTTAAATTCATTTCCCTACAAACCCCAATTGGTTTTAGAACTCCAAATGTCTATTTTTTGCTATTCTCTAATTTTGAATTTCTCATCAAAATCTCACAATTATTCCCAGTGACAGGCCTGGAAACCTAGAATCACTGCTGAATTTAGTAGCTAATTCCTCCTCATACATACCTGATAATGACACTAACCAAATGTCAATGAATGGTTAGGCCATTTTCCCATGATAGAGTAGAAGGAAAAGATAGATTTTGTGCCATCCTGTCCTTTCCCTACACAAAACTGACAACAACATCTACAAAATGAATCATCTGACAAAACGAGGATTGAAACAAGTATAGAGTGTAGGTAAAAAAGAAGGAAAAAACATATATAAAACTACTTTTAAGATAACAGAAATTATTTATTTTAAAAATCACCTAAATAATTTTAAAAAACAGAAAAAAAGACCCACCTAGAGTCGACAAAGGTCATTGCAAATCAAATGTAAATCAAAAAAATATTACAGAAATATACCTGTGACCCTAGCACTAACTTGATGCCAAAATCTTAGCAAAAATGATTTTTGACTATCATTTTTAAAAGAAGGAAGCAGCATGATTTCACAGTAAAATTCTATTGGCCATCATAGTATATGTTGTGAAGAACTGAATCAAGAGGAAAAGGACGAGGAAATTATATACTTTTAGAACTTCTCAGTATTTTATCTCAGGATGGTATTGACCATGGGGAAAATGAACCAGAGACCTATTCGAATTAACCAACACATACTACATAGGTAAAACAACATATCTATATCTATCGATTTGTGACACTGGGATAATCCACATTTTATCCAAATATGAATATGTATATCCCTATGCTTTCTAAGAATCTTCACCTCGTTTTGCATATTAATATAACAGACTGGACTTTGAGAATTCATAAGCCAATTCTTTCGTATCTCCTTAAAATACCGTTGTACATTCCTTATATCTTGTATTTGTGTAGTATCATTTTTCTGAAATTCAACCTTAAGTATAGATCTTCTTCAACTTATGATGGGGTTACATCCCAATAAGTCCAACATAACTTGAAAATATCATTAAGTCAAATGCATTTACTACATCTAAGCTACAGAATATCATAGTTTAGCCTGTACTACTTTAAATGTGCTCAAAACACATTTAGCCTCAGTTGGGCAAAATCATCTCTCACAGAGCCTCTTTTATAATAAACTGTTGACTATCTCACGTAACTGATTAAATATTGTACCGAAAGTGAAGAACAGAATGGTTGCAGGTGTACGGGCTGTTTACCCTCGGGGGGCTGACTGGGGGCCACAGCTCCTGCTGCCCAGCATCATACAAGAGTATCATACAGCACATTGCTAGCCCAGGAAAATATCGAAATTCAGAATTCAAAGTACAGTTTCTGTGGAGTGCATATCACTTTCGCACCATCATAAAGTCAAAAAATCTTAAGTTGATGACTTACATGTTTTAACAATAGGTCAGTATTCTACTAGGTGCTATGAGGAATTCAAAGTATTGGATATAATTTCTCTGATCCAAAACACTGTCCAATCTGGTTGAGGAGACAAGACCTTTTAGAGAAATACATGGCTTCGAGTAATCAAGTAACAAAATTAAATGAAGTGGCAGGATTTGGATAGTAGTTGAATGGTGAAGTTAGGTGGAAAATTATATTCCTTGCAAAGAAAAAAAATGTGCATAGCCCTGAAGATAGAACTGAGTGAGATATATCATAACAAAGAGAAGAAACTCTCTTGACTTGGGGGTGGGGTGGAGGTGTGGAAGATACTGGTAAATAACATTACATAATTAGATGTAAACATCACATAATTAGATTAAAAATCATGCTGACAAGTTTCACCCAAGTAAAGCAACTTGAGTATGAAGCAGAACAGGTTTGGACTTGGGAGTCAGTAAAAAGAAAAAAAGAGAAATAGATCACAAGTAGATGCATAGAGTATACATCTTTAAGATCCAAGTTCTAGGTTAGAAAACCTCTAAGATTTAACAAGAAAAATAGTACACACAGTAGTTAATAGCACACGTGAGAGTAATATTGCCTGAGTTCAAATCCAAGGTTCGCTACTTACTGATTACGGGGACTCTTGCGAATTACATAGTATCATTGTGGCTCATTTAACTATAAAGTGGAACTAAAAATAATAAGACCTGTAAATGAGTTAATATACAAGATTAAATGAGTTGATATATATAAAGTTTTAAGAATGGCCCTTTGGCATATAGTAAGTGTTATGAAAACATTGGCTTTTAGTGTTTTTGGAACTCACCATTCTCCTGGTTTGGGCCCAATGAGTTTCTTACACTGTCAACTACCCTCTCTTCACTGCTTGTATTATATACCATTTTATGTAGCCCTCTGCAAAAAAGGATATTATATGTTATATATTGATACTATTTACACACACACACACACACCCAGATGAGAAAAGAGGCAATAATTTCCAAAGACAGATGGACTGAAATCATCTTTTTTCTGCCAAATACTGGAAATTCAATAGCAAAGAAAAAATACAACTGAGAAGAAATGCTGCTATGAACCATTTGCTTTCAAAGAGCGGTCCTATTACAAAGAAGGATCTAAGAAGCTTAGTAAAATGGACACTTTTACAGAAACAGTGTGTTTTGTTATTATTATTTGTCTTTTAAAGAAAAAGGAAACTAAATGAAACATTTAAGTCTTGCGTCTGGCAAAGCCAACTTCTGGCAAATCAGGATATGGACTGACCTCAACTGGTTTTTTGGTTTTTGGGTTTTTTTTAGTAATAGAAGGGTTTAATTTGGAGACAATCCCATGCAAATTATAGTAAAACTTTGATAAAGATGGTTTAGTTTGCCTACTTGATTTCATCTTTAATCATGATGTGGCATTTCTAACACAATATAAGTGTACCGTAGTATAGATTTCAATTCGTAGGATCAAGGGGAAAGTGCACTCTCTGCATTATAAAGTTGACTGTAAAAATAATATTAGTAACTTAACATCATAATCTAATGTGCAGAATTGTTTTATATGTCAGTGAAAATTCTTGAGAAGCATTTGGTGAAAATTAAAAATTAACTGTTTCATTTAGATCAAACAGAAAATAGGCAAAACCTATACAATACAAACAGGTACTTTTATATTTGAGTCATACAAATTAACTACATGCTATGGTTTTTCTCACACAGGGTATCAGAACTGCTGAATTTGATTTTATTTAAAAACAAAATATGCAAATGGATACTTTATAAGTAAGCATCCTTATAATGATTGTGAAGAGAGTCTAAACTAAAGGGACTACTATATTTGTGTTTACAGTAGCAGATCTATAATTCAGAGACTAGTATTCATTAAACAAACTATCACCGACACTTCAGGCACACAGACTACTTACTGTCCATCTGTGTTTCTAGCTTCTTGTTTTTCTTCTTTGGAGTTTTGTGAGGATTCTCCAGTAACATTGCCAAGGGCTGAATCAGGATCATTTTTCAGTGTATTTATTATATCAGTAGATCCAGAAGGAATATCTTGTGACTTCAGAGAAATATTTTCAGCCTCATCTTTAGGCACTTCACACAGTTCTTCCTTTTCATCTATCTCTTCAAGGCTATGATCAGAGCTTATTCCAGCTACAAAGAAATGAAGATATAATCCTAAATATTAATTTGCCTCCTCATTCATCCCATGCAATCCTAGCAAGAAAGGAATTTTTAAAATAATAATTAGCTGGACTCTTAAATGCTGGTCCAAAACTAATAAGAAAATACTCTCCTAATGGTGAATAACCACATTAACATATAGTCAAATTAGACATACACAATTTTAAAAATAATATTCTATCACGCTAGTTTTTATTCATGACAGAGAAAAAAGTTATTTAAAGTCATAATCTTCAAGTTACATATCTCTGAGAGATATCTATATATCTTTGAATTTAAATGATTTTACATTCATATAACAGCTCTAAATGTTAATTAAAAGAACATTAGATTTTATAATTTTAAATTTTATATATACAAGTATACTTATAAAATTTGACTCAGTAGTTACGAGAACTACAGTGGAGAACTATCTGAGCCCCTTTCAAAAATACCAGTGCTCGTACCCTCTCCACACCTGTTAAATCAGAATCTCTGAAGGGTGGGACCAAGAATTTTTAAGGCTCCTAAGGTGATTCTATATAAAACCAGGATTAAAAGCCACTGACTTAGATGCTTAGTATACTTTTTGAAAATACAACAAGTATTATACTTAGCTTGATTCTCGGAGGCAACTTCCTTTAACAGGTTTTTCCTATATATTATCGGAAAGTATAATGAGCATACAAGCAGATATGCATACTCATTCTTCCTTCTTTTATGTTGGTTCATTTTATATAAATGGAAGCATATTATAACTGATGTTTTTCACCTTCTGTTTCTCCACTTAACTATGTCTGAAAAATCATCCCATATCAATGTGTGTGCGTGTGTGTGTGTGATTCTCTTCAAAAGCTGCAGTTAATATTTCATTGTATAAGAATGTGTTCTATTGTTATTCCTTTAGTACCAGCAACAAATGGCCAACAGTTTAAAAGAGGAGACATCCTAATTGGTGTACACACTAGCTGTGAAATTTAATTTAAACCAAAGAATGAGGTTCTGAATCTTTGCTTATTTAAGTATAATTTAACACTTCCATTTACACAAAAGCAGCTGAACAAAGTTTAATTTTACCACAATGAGGGGTGGGATGGTATAGCTATATTATAGTGATCAGCACATCCATAAAATTTAATAAAAACTTCAACATATTTGAAGAGTATTTAAAGTAATGTATGTCTTTAATTTTATCTCTAGGCAGAAAAGTATGCAATTTATGCTATTTCATAAACAGATATGAAGACTTTTAATGAGTTTCATTGTGAATTAAAAAAGGAGATTACTCAACAGAAAAAATATTAAGGACTCTGAATTTAAGTGAATTTTTAAAAAATATATTTTGGCAAGTCTTGTTTTATTATGACATGTGAAAGCATCATTATGATACCAGTGTACAATATTATGTGTCTACAATAGCATATATTTGTGCAGTAAGGGTATATTTATGTAATTTGAAAACCCTGAGAAAATTAATGTCTGTTGTGGTTTAGATGCAAATGTGTTTTATAAATGGCTCCTTGGCATATATTAAGCTCTTTACAAATTAGATTAACTCAGGTAACACTTAACAAATTACTGTTATCTCTATTTCTCTCTTGCCCATGAAAAGTATTTCACATAGGAGCGCCTGGGTGGCTCAGTCAGTTAAGCATCTCTTTTTTTTTTTTTTTGGAAGAAATAGTTGTTTTTTTTTTTTATTTTTTATTGTTATGTTAATCACCATACATTACATCATTAGTTTTTGATGCAGTGTTCCATGATTCATTGTGCATAACACCCAGTGCTCCACGCAGAATGTGCCCTCTTTAATACCCATCACCAGGCTAACCCATCCCCCCACCCGCCTCCCCTCTAGAACCCTCAGTTTGTTTTTCAGAGTCCATCGTCTCTAATGGTTCGTCTCCCCCTCCGATTTGGAGTAAATAGTTTTTGTGTTTTTTTTAATGTTTTATTTATTTATTCATGAGAGTCAGAGAGAGAGAGAGGCAGAGGGAGAAGCAGGCTCCCTGCCTAGCAGGGAGCCCAATGCAGGGCTCGATCCCAGGACCTCGGGATCATGACCTGAGCTGAAGGCAGACGCTTAACCATCTGAGCCACCCAGGCGCCCTGGAGTAAATAGTTTTAATGTGTAACAGTAGGCCAATCGGGGAAGATAAGACATCTGCTACAAGGCCCCAGCCCTTCTCCCATGATGCCCTGGGACCAGTGTGCCTGAGCTAGTCCCGTGCCTGCCCCAGCCCTGAGGCCCCCAAGTCGCAGGGGAGGGTAGGAAAAGAAGGTGGATGTCTGGGGGCTCAGCCCCAAGAGTTCAGGAAGGCAAACACAGTTGAATTTGGCCTTGGAAAATTTGGCCTTGGAAAAACCCATCTTGGCATGCTGATCCATGAACTTCTTCAGAATCTCCTGCTTTTTTGCTCGTCCGAGGTGGGCAGCCCCACAGACTTCTGCCTCTGGTCGTACATCATCTCTTCCACCATGCTGCACGTCTCAATGTCCAGGTCCAGGTCTGACAGCTTGGAATTCTCAGGGTTGATCTTCTTGGTATTGATCTCAGGGTCACTGGACACCAAGCAGCTCCACCACTCCATCTTGTTGATCTTCTCCAGATGCACCGTCACCACCTTGCCATCCTCAATGAACCATGAGCTCTCCTCCACCTTCACCTCGTTGTAGAGCTCCCCGTCAATGACTTAGGTCATTGACTTAGATCAGCTTAGGTCATGATCTCAGGGGTCGTGAGACTGAGCCTCGCTTCGGTCTCTGTGCTTAGCATGGAGTCTGCTTGAGATTCTGTTTTCCAACCCCTCTGCCCCTCTCCCTGCTCCGGCACATGCTCTCTCTTTCTCACTCTCAAATAAATAAATAAATAAAATCTTTAAAAAAAAAATTACATCTATTCTGGTGAACTACATTTTGTATTCATTCATTCATTCAAAAAATGCTCATTGTGTCAGATACTATTGCAGTTGCTGCCAGACAGAGTAGTTTTCTTTTTTAAAAACTGAGATACAATTCACACTCAGTAAAATTCATTTTTGGAATCCATGTTGGAATGCTTCATTTTGATAGATATATAGTTGGGTGACCACCACCACAATCAAGATATAGAACAAGTCCATCAATCTCCAAAATCCCTGGACCCTTTGGTGATCAGCCCCTCCCCCTAACCCTAGACCCTGGCAACTATTTTCCCTATAGTTTTACCCTTGCAAGAATGTCATCTAGCCACTTAAGACTGGCTTCCCCATTTAACATAATGCATTTGAGATTCAGCCATGTCACTGCATGTAGTATTCATTCCTTTGTATGGGTAGGTGGTAGCATTCCAATGTATGGATTGACCACAGTTCATCCATTCCTCAGTTTAGGGACATTAGGTTGTTTCTCATTTGGGGCAATTATGAATGAAAATTCTAAAATAATTTACATGTTAAGTTTTTGTGTACACAGAGGTTTTCATTTTTCTTGGAAAATACCTACGAGTGGGACTGCTGGGTTATACAGAAAATGAAAACTTAAATTTTATTTTTAAAAACTTGTCAAACTATTTTCCAGATTGGCCACATAATTTTGCATTATTATAAGCAGTATGTGATATATTAATTTTAAATAATTTTAAATAAGGACTCATTCTGAGTTAATAAAAAATTGAATAAAATTATTTATAATGAAATGCAAGTATACCTAACTATACATTTTTGCCATCTGGTTACAAAATAATTCCAAAAATTTAACATAAAAATCCCAATCAAAAGCAATTCTACAGAAAATAAGCCATGCCTAGATAACAAAAGAGTACTCCAAGAAAGAAAAAAAAATATATATATATATATATTCTTTTATATTCATAAAGTTAAACACTGGAAATAATAGAGTTCAAAGAGTTTTGCCAAAAAAAAGCAGAAAGCCAAATAGAAGAAAATGCTGAAATCCTCCAAGGCCACTTATTTTTTCATCTTATGCCTTGCAATATTCATCTGTCTGGTTAGGGAAAACATCAAACTCCAAACCTCTAAGAGAATTTCAAGTGAAAGGGGGAAACTACTATTTCTTTGAGACCTTTTTACACAAGGGATGACCAAGTAATGAAATGTTGACGTGGTGATAATCTTAATCTGCATTAAACAAAGCACCAGACAGGAAAGGCCCCATCACCTACATGTCAGAGATGCTACGGCTGTCTCGGCCGTTCGAGAGCACTCGGAGAGGGAAGCTTCATCCAGTAGTCTGGGCACAGTGGAGTGTTCGAGACTGGGGAGCCCGGGGCCAAGGGAGGCTTCTGCCAAAGAAGTAAAATCTGTGGAAATGGCACTTAGACAACAGAGTTAAGGCAAGCAGAGAACAAGAAGCATTTTGAAGAAATCAGATCTATTAGCTCACAATGATTCATGTGTTAAACAAGAAGAGATAACTAGGGGGGAAAAAAGGAAGAGAGAGAAATAGGTATCAAGCAAAGTTTGTATAGCATTCACACCTTCTTTCTAATACTTCCGCATCTTCTCATTTCACTTATATAGTTTGATACTATTTAAATAAAATTCCTTGTGGAACAAAATAGTATCATCGATACTATTCTGGGTAAGACTTAAGAAATAAGAAAAATCATGACTCGGTATATAATGATAATGTTTTTAATCACAGAGGACAGGAGAATTCTTATATAAGATGTGTCAAAATCTCAAATTCCTAAAAATAACCTAAGGATTAAAGATTTAGGAGCATTTGGGTGTCCTGAGTTTCTCCCATGTTTATGAATATTAATTATAAAAATTAGGTAGGGTTATATTGAGCAATTTTCATACCTATAAAATTATCTCCATGCTAAAGTACTGTCAAAGTAATATTCTATTTTTGGTTAGACATTAGTCTGTCAGATTCATTTATACCTAACATTAAGTCTAAGAATTAAGAAGTTTTATATTTATTCTTATAATAGCTACTATTAAAAATATAGGGAAACAGTATTAAATTACTTTATTTTTATTGGCATTTCATTTATTTGGAGAATCCAAAATGAGACCATATAATAGAAAATACTTCATGATAAATTTTTACCACTAAATTAGGACACTATGTATGTCAAATTCATACCTAGTACAGTTGTGTAAATAATAATACCTTACACCTTGGTGTAAGTTTCTTCTGAACACACTAAGGTACATTCCTGACTAATATGTGTCCTTCTTGGGGAGGACATTAATAAGTCATAAGACACTGCATAAGGAAAGTTCTTAAGGTACCATCATAGAACTAAAATTTTGAGTTCTGCCAATTTCATACTCAACCCAGGGTGGAAAATTTTTCATTTCACAATATAAAATTTGGGAAATAGAGCCAAATCATCTGTATCTCTTTCACAGACAGAGCATTATAACTAGATTCATTCCTCAACTGCCATGAAAGGTCTCTTTCAGGAGCTACATGATGTGGAATAAAGGTGTCCTACCTGGGCTGGGCAACCCCTCGGGAGAATTTGCTTCCAAAACACCATCCGAAGGAACCGTGCGTCCTGCCTGCAGGGCTGGGGGACAGAAGCAGCACAACTTACAAACAAGTCACATTCAGAAATGTAGCAATTCCTTAGTAGCTTAGTTTATTTTTATATAATTTGGGAAGAGAGAGCCCTAACTTTGTTAGAAGCCACTTCACCGTCCAGCTTTGATACAACTAAAATCAACTTAGCTTCCCCTTCCTACAGGTAGTCAGTCCTGGAATGAGAGTGTCCTGAAGAGATTCACAAATGATCACATGCTCAATTTTAGGATCAGGGAGCTATACAAATTTTTCTTTTCTTTCTTTTTTCTTTTTTTTTTTGTTATTGCAGATTTTAAAAAGGTAGTTAAGTGAGAATAACCAGGGACTATCTAAATATTATCAAAATTCATTAAAAGCCTAAGTTTAAGTATTGTCTTTTAGTAAAAAGATCTGATTTATAACCTGTATCACTTTACTGTCTATATGAAACAAGACCTAATACACACATAATGTTAATGGGAAAAGTAACATTACCAGTGACAGGACTACTTTCATCACTTGGATGCAGGGGTATTTTGGAGGGTGGGGAAGGTGCTTTTCGCTTTGTCCTCTTCAAAGATGAATTGCCAACAGATGTACTACTGAGCTGCAGTGAGCCAGTTCTCACTATGCCTGCTCCACAGGGACTCTGGGAAACAAAATGACCAGACACGATCTCCATTTAGAAATTAATAGCAAACTTCAGGAAGAGGCTGACCTTTACATCAACTGCTTCATACGCCAATATGAAACATAAGAGTCATTCATTCAAAAAAACCTTTATGGAGCATCTGCATGTGCCAGGAGATGGATATGTAAAGTAAAATAAAATAAGATGGAAGAATGGCGTACAAACAACCAATTATCATGTGGAGGACTCGTAAGCATAATAGTTAAAAACTAGCTGTCAAAGAAAAATACGGAGAAAATATGGATGTAAAGTAAGAGGTGAAAAAGAAGAATATCTGTATGTTAAAACAGCTGGTTTGATTAATCTTTCTTTTTTAGTACTAACGTATTAATGACAAACATCTCAAAAATTTCTATGTCTACCCACGGCAAGGTCATTTGAGGTCACCAACTCTATACACGGCTAATGCTCACACGCCTGGCATGTGACCGTCAGCAGACCCGGAGACAGGCCTGCCTTAGCAGGCTGCCTGGTGCCTCCTGGCACGCTGCCACATCATCTAACCTGATTCAAAGAGTTGTTCATAGTTCTTTGTCTCCAATTTCTCATCCCCCACTTGAACACTTTCAACCAGATATTTCCCAACTTTTGATCCATTAAAACTATTCCTGTCAAAGTCGTCAATGACCACCACCACAACTAAACTAGTGGTTAACTCTTAGAACTCATTTATTTGATCTGTTTGCAGCATTCGACAGAATAGACCACCCTCTTAAAATTCTCTTTTTCTTACTTCCAGATTACCACATTCCTAGTCTGCACAGATCCCAACGTTCCATTTTCTTTTAGGGTCCTTTTTCATCTCAGTCCTTGCATGCACTCTCTTCAGTATCTATGTTCAATCTCTTGGTAATCTCCTCTCTTCCCTTGGATTTATGTATTATTCATATGCCAATTAATTCCAGACTTATCCCTCCATCCTAGACCTCTATCTGACCTCCACTTAATATCTAAGGCGATTTCAAACACGGCCTGTCTGAAACTGAGATCCTGATGATCCCTCCTTTCCCCTCTCCGTCAGAAATAATCCTGTTCCCACAGTTTCTCCTGTTTCAGGAAAGAGTAAGTCAGTCCTCCATCTGTTCAGGACGGTGACTCTGGAGTCCTCCGCATCTCCTTTCCCTCTCACACTCCACAGGAAGTCTATCTCGTTGGCTCATCCAGCTTGACTGCTACCACATGATCTGGATTATCATCAAGAACCTCCTGAATGGACTCTGCTTCCACACTGTGTCCCTACAGCCCTTTCTCAACATACCAGCAAAAGGATCCTATCAAAACCTAAGTTTGTTTAGGTCACTTTGTTCAAAACCAAATAGCAGTTTCCCAGTTGGCATGGAAAGGCCAAAGTCCGGGTGAGGGCTTCTAAGGCAGTTAACTGCCTAGCCCCTACATCTCTCCGACCACCTCCTGCCCTAAGTGTCATCTCATAGGGACAGAGCACAGTTAGGTCCACAATGGCAGGCACTTGATGGAACACCTCTCACTGAGGTTAACTCCTCCTAACCGGGGGCAGACAGGGTGGCACCTGGCTGACCTGATGGGGAGTCAAACCATAAATGGCCTCCATACCAACTGAGGAATAGCTGCAGCCACCAACCTCCTCTCCCCTTAGTACTGCGGTCCTTCCTCCAGAACTTTTCAGGCCAATCCATCAAGGAAAGAGTTAAAGCCTGCCACCCAAACCCAGACTGATTCAGTCACTAAAGCCAATTCCAATTAAATCTAAGGGCCACCCCTCACCCCCCACCCGCTCCAAAGTGGATGTGGGGACAGATCCTCAACTGCAGTTTGGATTTTTGAAACAATCAAGAGAAGGACCCTTGGCAATAAAGGGCTGATGAGGAAATGCACTGTATCGTACAGCTGGATGAGCAGTATTTAAATGTCATTTTGAGTAGAATATAAAGTTTTCTTTTTATTGATTAATGATATATCTCTGTGTTTGGAAACTTTCATTTGCTATCTTATAAAATTAACAAGTTTAGGAGTCATTAGGAAAAAGGCTAAAAATTCTCCTAAAACAATGCAGCACTTCACTTTTCAAAATAATGATGTAAGTATCAAAAGCAGTAGAAAATGTCATTTTATTTCTCAGATGAATTTACTTAGTAAAGCCCTATTAAAGCATGCTCCCTTCCTCTCATAGACTTACTTTACCAGTAAGAACACAGCAAGTGGTCAGTAAGTAACTGCTGAATGCACAAATTTAGGGCAGCATTTGACTTTCCTCCTACTTCCATGCTGAAAACTTGTTTCCCATGCTTAGACTGATTGCTTTCATGAGGTCTAGAATACAAACCTGTGCTCCCCGTTAGGCCAGATTCCCAATCACTGTCATTTATTGGTCTTTTCTATTATCTGATAAAAGCAGTCATGACTTGAATTAGTCACGAATTTCTCAAATGACAGTATCTGTTTAGGAGTTAGAGCTCTTAAATTTTGGTCATAATAAAATATATGGTACAGAAATTAGAAGGGAGGAATTTATATTGCAGACACACAAGTTTATATGAACCTATCCATAACTCAAAGACAAAATAAAAATAGACTCACATATTTCATTTATGTCCCTAGAGGTCTTAAAATAAGCAATTTTTTTTGTACAGGATATTTCTATGGATAAAGAATTTAAAATTTGTCAAAATACACAGATTTTAGTTTTACTAAAAAATTTTCAATAGCATTTATGAAGACAGCTGAGGGAAAAGAAAACACATAACATTTTGAAGGAGCACATCTTTTATAACTTTATCCTACAGAACTTAACTCCCTTTACCCTGTTTTGCAGGTGTAACATGAAAATAAATGGACATACATTATTAGAGTTGCAACTGGATCACAGAGACTAAGAAAGAAGACATTAAGACAGCATGACTGTCACTGAGTGGTACCAGAAAGATATACATGACCTGTCATAACTAGATTCCATGGTATAATTAATGGTTAAAACTTACTAAGTTTATGACAAAACTGTAAATTTAACAACTTATGTAGGATGGGCCAAGGGCAGGAGTTTTCAAGGAATAAGAATGGTGAGTTTAGTTCATCAGCAACAGATTAATGATGGAAATGGAAGTTTTGTCCTAGGGTACAATAATATTAGTGTTCAAGGAAATAGCTTAATATATATTTCTTGTCTTTCAAGACAGACAAGAGTTTTGTTGTTGCTGTTGTTGTTAGAGAGAGAGAGCGTAGGGGAGGAGGAGAGGGAGATGGAGAGAGAGAATCTTAAGCAGGCTCCATCCCCAGCACAGAGCCTGACACAGGGCTCCACCTCATGACTCTAGGATCATGACCTGAGCCAAAATCAAGAGTCAGATGCTTAACTGACTGAGCCACTCAGGCGCCCCTGCTTTTTTTTTTCTTTTTTAAAGACTACTAGAAAATAATTTCAATCAGCTAGGAAGGAAAGGTAACAGAAATCAAACTTGGGAGTTACTTTGTGTTAAAATAAAACATCACTATTAAGACCAAAGTGGAGGAACCCCTGGACCTTGAGAAAGGAATGTTCTATATCTACTGCAAACATCCTTTTCTTGGTAAAAGCCCACAGGAGAAGAAGAAGCGTTTAAGTTAGAAGATCTAGGTGTTCCTAAATAGACTACAACAAGAAAAGTGGTGTATACTGAGGAATGTGGGTGGAGTATATGTAGCCAGCACACAGGAATAGAGAGGGTCCTAACCCAAGAATGACTACTTCTAGAAAGCAGACTCACTAAACCACCACAGATGCTAAAGTAAACACATCATGAGTTCCATACAAAATGCTAGGGAAACAAAAGCAAAAGTGTACTATTGGGACTTCAAGATAAGAAGCACAGCAAAGGAAACAACAAAACTAAAAGGTAACCTACAGAATAGGAGAAGATATTTATGAATGACATATCTGATAAAGGGTCAGTATTCAAAATCTATAAAGAACTTATTAAACTCAACACCCAAAAAACAAATAATCCAGTTAAGAAATGGGCGAATATATGAATAGACATTTTTCCAAAGAAGACATCCAGATGGTCAACAGACACACGAAAAAATGCTCATCATCACTTGGCCTTAGGGAAATACAAGTCAAAACTACAATGGGATACCACCTCACACCAGTCAGAATGGCTAAAATCAACAACACAAGAAACAACTGATGTTGGCAAGGATGCAGAGAAAGGGGAACCCTCTTACACTGTTGGTGGGAATGCAACCTGGTACTGCCACTCTGGAAAACAGTATGGAGGTTCCTCAAGAAGTTAAAAATAGAGCTACCCTATGGCCCAGCAATTGCACTACTAGGTATTTACCCAAAGGATACAAAAATACCAATTCAAAGGGGCACATGCACCCCAATGTCTATAGCAGCATTATCAACAACAGCCAAATTATGGAAAGAGCCCAAATGTCCATTGACTGACGAATGGATAAATAAGATGTGTGTGTGTGTGTGTGTGTGTGTGTGTGAGAGAGAGAGAGAGAGAGAGAGAGAGAGAGAGAGAGATGGAATATTACTCAGCCATAATAAAGAATGAAGTCTTGCCATTTGCAATGATGTGGAGGTGAATGGAGCTAGAGTGTATTATGCTAAGTGAAATAAGTCAGAGAAAAACAAATACCATAGGATTTCACTCATATGTAGAATTTAAAACAAAATAGATGGAAAATAGGGGAAAGAAAAGAGAGAGGGAGGCATATAAAAAAGGCTTTTATTTTTTAAAGATCTTATTTGAGAGAGAGAGCACAAGCAGGGGGTGGGGTGGGCAGGGGCGGGGGGAGAGGGAGAAGCAGACTCCTCGAGGAGCAGGGAGCCCGATTTGGGGCTTGATTCCAAGACCACGGGATCATGGCCTGAGCCAATCCTGGGATCATGACCTGAGCCAAAGTCAAACACTTAACCATTGAGCCACCCAGGTGCCCCAAGAGACTCTTAGCTACAGAGAACAAACTGACGGTTGCTGGAGGGGAGGTGG